TTGTAGAAAATTAAATTATTTAATATTATATGTGTATATATATATATATATAAATATAGATATAGATATTATTATTTGTATTTTATTTACTGTATTCAAGAATATTAAAACAATTTGAACATGATCTATGCGAAAGATCTGAATGTTACGTAAAAATTTAATCCCACGGATCTGTACCGAAGAAGTAATGCATTCTAACATTCTAACATCGAAGCAAGCGACAAAAACCGAGAAAAAGAGAATTGTTAGAAATTATCGATTCTTCGAGTATTTAACGAAGATGGACAGACGAGAATCTCATGAGAAAGAGAAAGATCGTTGAAACGAGCCGCATAGTATTGTAATAACAATAATAAAGGAAACGGTTGTCGAGAAGGGAGAGGCGCAGGGTCGTAGTAAGATAGCTGGCGCTCGCGTAGGGTACCAATCAGCTGGTATGCGCGGTGTTACGGTAGACAGCAGAACAGAACAAGTTTCTTAAAGGTGACACAAGTTTTCACGGGTAAGCGAACCGAAAAAGACTGTTTCTATCGCTTGCGATGTGCCCAACATAATATACGCTCTCATGCACGTGCAGTTTGACATAGTGCGGTTGGAGGTGGAGAAATGTTCGACTACCATCTATTTTACGACGTCATTCTTGAATGAAAATGTGTCTGTATTCAAACAGAAAGTGGGATGTTCGTCACTAGCTACTCTCTTTCGTCGAGACTAGTCGATAATTACCCAAAATCGAAAAACGCCAGTCATTCAAAAACACGAACGCAGAAGCATCTTGCCGTGACGTCATATGAACGAGAGTTGATAAAAGATAACCAAAATGCGCGAGACGAAACGGGCACGTTCGTACTTTCATAGATGCACGAAAATACATGTAATCGATGCGCATTGTACGTACAGTAATAGATTAGGTTATGCCACGTATCCTTATTTTCGTGGACGCGGGGCCCGCGAAAATAAGGATACGTACATGAAGAATCGGCTATCGGATTTTACCGACCGAAACCGGCTGGCTTATGCGTTTAATAATAATATATTGATTGATGGATCGAATTCGGCATTGTCTGTTAATTTTCTATTATAATTCATGGCGATTGCGTATGCCTTTTAAAGTCTCGCTCGAGCATCAAATGTGCCGTTCGATGTCACAGTGTCAAATAATCGATACGCACGTCTCAATTTGAACGTTTTATACCGCGTTGAGATATAAAATATCTCGAATTTGACTGGCAATCACGGTATTTTATTTGTTTTCAGTGATTTTTGCGTAAATTCCTTCTATTGTTTTTTGTTTTATTAAATATAACTTCGTAGATAAGAGCTGTATTTATAAAGAGTCAACAAAATGTAAGATCTTATTAATGTATTGGTTACAGTGTGTCGAATATCGTATATTACATTTTTATTGCATTCGTAATATATCATATTTAATATTATTCCATTGATATTTTCTTCAATTTAACTTAGATACATATTGAAATTTGTACTATAAATAAAGTCTATTTAAAATTTAAAATAAACATTTAAAACTGCGAAATAAGTTTTATCAAAGCAAATACAGTCACGAAAACAGTCAATTTTCACAACACTCGTTAAATAATTATAGATAATTATAGACTCCATCGTGAACGATATTATGAGACAGTATTTTTATTTATTACATAGCATTATGGTTATTTCGACCCATACCAACTCACATTTGTGTTTATAAATATATTAACTCTATTGGTTCGTTATAAATGGCTATAATAATTTATGTTAGATGACAAAAATTTAGAGTCTTTGATTTGATCTTGTGCTTTATATTCTTCGTAATAGAAATTCATGATAAAATTAAATTAAATTAAAAATTCTAAAGTTAAGTAATCTAACGTTGAAATTGTTATAATGGTGACTTAATGATCCAAGTTAGGAGTTGAGTATCTCACCAACTTCTTTGTATCTACGATTCTCTTTACTTTTGATATTGATAATATTGTGTCTTCTAAATATCAGTTTAATCGATTTTGTTTCATGTTCATTTGTCAAAGATTGGAACCACAATATCCCTCGAAGATGAGGGAGGAGAGACTGGATATCGATCAACCTTTATGGGATCTTAGCACTTTCGTAGGCAGATGGAAGCATTTCGCCTGGCAAACTGATTTTCGCACTTGTACTGTCAGTAATTCCGAGTTGCTAGAAGCAAGGAAACTACTCGAGGACTATAAGTGAGTATGAATTAATTTTGTTTACGTTTTGCCAGAAGATAATTTACTGGATTATTACATAAACACAAAAATTATCAAAATTAAATGATTTATTACGTATGGAAATGAAAGATTTATGTACATTGATATAAATTTCAATTCATGTACCAAAAATTTTAACATACTGTGAATGATAAAGTATGTTAATTTCGAAGGAAATTGTTATTTCAAGATCTTTTGCCTTTTTTTCATAATTGAGAAGTATAGTACACGTAAGTAGTGTAGTAATATTAAACTTATAGATATTGTATTACTCAATCATGTTTGTCATACTAAGGTATGTAAATAAATTCAAATTAAACTTTTATTACAAAAGTATAGATTTACCATCGTTGTTACCTTTGAAGAACATATAAAAATTTTCAATATTACAAGGTAATTTCTTACAGAATATTTTTTCGGCATCGTTAATTATGCCGAGATTAACAGAATATGATTTCAGTAATTGAAGAACATCTTTTCTTAACGTCCTTATCATATTCGAAGAAACACCGTTGCATAACGAACGTTATCGATAAATATAATTTACGATGTTAAGTGTTTCAAGGATAAAACGGTATAATTATATTATAACAAAATCATAAATAACAATCATCTAACAAACAAAATTATTATAGACAAAAATATTTTATCAAATGCTATATTTAAAACATTCATTTTATAGACATTTTAAATTTTGTCATAATGTGTATACTTATAAAAAGACATTGGGAATTATTTTAATTTATAGTTTATAATTAATTCAAGAATATATTCATAAAAAGTTAAATTAAATAATAAAAAAAAAAGTTATAAAACAGAATAGTCGAATTACAAATGATCCATTAAGTTTTCATTTATTTAAATTGAAATTTTATAATTCTAATATCGAAATGATCTCGAAAACAAACTTGTCACTTTGTAAATATAGCGTTCTATTTATAATCTTGAAAATTCTTTCACATCTTCGCATTTCGCTTTCTCTCCATGAAATTCTAATAATCTTTTTCAACTCTCTATATAAGTATGTATTTTATTTCTATCTAATCTAATTCAATTACATAAATTTTCTCCGTTATGTTTCTGGTATATATGTATATATATTAATACATATATAATAATTTCGTATAAGGAATAAAACATATTTTTCAGATGCATTTTAAGCATCTTTCCTTGCACTTCTACTTACAATTAGTTTTTCAAATGAAACAGGTTAATTACGATACAGGTAACTAAGCGCGTAACTTATGCAAGTAATCATGAATGAAATTTTAACCTCGTAACAGGTCATCGAGCGATTGACATTCGCATACATCATATCGCAGAAGAAAAGAAAATAAAAATCTGCGATTCACTATAGACGTTGCAAATATTTTTAATAATATCTTTCTTTCTTTTTCCTTTTTAATGAATAACAGTGTCAGTTGATCAGTTGTATAATTTAAAAACTGATCAAAATGGTCAAACGAATAAAGCAAATTTGTAGAAAAAAAAGTGAGTATAGTTTGGATTTTTTTCTCCTGTCTTATTGTGAATTATCTTTATAATTCTATCTAATTATCGCAAATTTTTTTGAGATACATTGGCAACATCGGAATTCGTAAATTTCG